GGTGCCCAAAACTAAACTGCATATTCCAGATGAGGACTTACTAATGATTTGTACAGGGGTAATATGATATCTCTCTCTCTCTGGAGTCTATACCTCTTAATACAAGAGAAGATTTTGCTCACCTTGGAAACTGCAGCTTGGCATTTCATTCTGTTAGTAAGTTTATAATCTTTGATGATGTTGTAACCCCCCCCCCCCCCCCCAGTATGTATGATGCATGCATTTTCTTAGCCCCCAAGTGCATAACCTTACATTTATCAACATTAAAACTCATTTGCCACATAGTTGCCCAATTACACAGTGCATTGAGGTCGGCTTGTAAATTGGAGACAACCTGTAAGGACGTTATTCCACTGCACAGCTTGGCGTCATCTGCAAAGACTGAAATGGGATTTTTAATCCTAGATCCTATATTGTTTATAAATGTATTAAAAAGTAAGGGTCCCAACACTGAACCTTGGGGTACATCACTGACAACCCTAGACCATTCAGAGTATGAATCATTAACCACTACTCTCTTAAAATGATCTTTTAGCCAGTTTTCTATCCATTTACATATGGATTTTTCCAAGCCTGTAGATTTTACCTTACACATTAGCCGTGTGTGGGGAACTGTGATAGACACGTTTGCAAAATCCAAGTATACCACGTCCACCGCCACCCCTCTGTCCAAGGTTTTGCTCACCTCCTCATAAAAGGAAATCAGATTTGTTTAACAACTTCTGTCTTTCATGAATCCATGCTGTCTGTTACTTAAAATATTTTTTTCCAGGAACAACTCATCTATGTGGTCTTTTACTAAACTCTCCAGTATCTTTCCCTACTATAGAAGTTAAACCAACAAATCTATAGTTAAAGACTATGAGACTATAAAGGTGAAGACTTTGATCCCCTTTTTAAATATGGGCAACACATTGGCCTTTACGCCAATCCAGTGGTACTATCCTGGTAATTAAAGAGTCCCTAAAACTTTGAAATAATTGTTTTGAAATGACAGCTAAATTCTTTAAGGACCCGTGGGTGTATGCCATCTGGTCCAGGTGCTTTATTCACCTTTATTCTGTCTAAATATTTCTGGACCATATCAATTTTGAGCCATTGTGGATCATGGAGCTGTGTCAATATCATCCCCAAGGCAGCACAGTGGCTAAGTGGTTAGCACGTCCACCAATCAGCACTAACGTCCTTAATTTGAATCCCAACCACGGCACTACCTGTCTGGACTTTGCATGTTCTTCCTGCATTTGCGTTCGTTTTTTTCCCACACTCCAAAGACATGCTGTTAGACTAACCACTTGCCCTTTAGAGGATTTACCCCCCTTAATGACCAGGCCTCTTTTTGCTACTCGGCGCTGCACTAATTCAACTGATAATTGCACAGTCATGCAATGCTGTACCCAAATAGAGCTTTCTTTCGGTGGTCTGTGATCACCTGTGCGCTTTTTATTTTTCACGATCTAAACAAAAAAAGACCGAAAATTTTGAAGAAAAACAATATTTTTTACTTTTGGCTATAAAAAATATATCGTAAACTCAAAGTTAGTTATAAATTTAGGCCAAAATGTATTCTGCTCCATGTTTTTGGTAAAAAAAAAATCCCAATAAGTGTATATTGATTGCTTTGTGTGAAAGTTATAGCATCTACAAACTATGGTATAGATATTGCAATTTACGCCATTTTTTTGCTGTACAGCACTGCACTAGTTTAACTGACAATTGCCGGTCATGCAATATGGTACATAAATAAATTTTATGTCCTTTTTTCACACAAATAGAGCTTTCTTTTGGTGGTATTTTATCAACTGTGCACTTTTTCACTTTTTTTTTTGGCACTATAAACAAAAATGTTTTGAAAATTTTTTTTTTTTTTTTTTTTAAAAAAACAATATTTTCTAATTTTCTTCTCATAAATTTAGGCCAAAATGTATCTTGCTACATGTTTTTGGTTAAAAAAAAAATCCCAATATGTATATATAGCATCTACAAACTATGGCACAGATAATGGAATTTACACAGCTTTTACTTTCTGACTGCCTCACATTTCTTGAGGTGCTAAAATACCAGGATAGTACAAAAAACCCCAAATGACCCCTTTTCGGAAAGTAGACACCCTAAGCTATCTGCTGAGAGGCATACTGAGTCCATGGAAGATTTATTTTTTTTTCCACAAGTTTTTGGAAAACGACAAAAACATTTTTTTTTTTTTACACAAAGTTGTCATTTAAATGATATATTACTCACAAAAGCCATGGGTGTGATGGGCGCGGCGTCAGACCCCCGACCTTCTCACCAAACACTTGACCAAAGGACTAGCCAATCTAACACCGTGTCATGTGTGTAACAATGCCACACCCAGCTGCACCCTGCACAATGATTTTCCAGCTAATTGGACCACAATCGACGCACCTGCAGCCTGGGAGCATTTGTTACTGGTCAGGTTAATTCCACAATTAACCCTTCACACTGCAACCACCTCCTTTTTGTACAGAGAAAGAGGAAACTCAGCAATACCCTGGGATGATTGGTTAATCGTCGGTATACCGCTATCTCCACAGACAGGTTAAACAGAGGGTTAAACACTCATAGTAGCGCTCTTCAGCGGCAGGGATTCGTAAGTCACATTAAAGGGCTATAGAAACAGTCCAACACTTCCAGAAAGTAAGATTTATTACTAAAAGGTGAAAAGGGTGCAGTAGAAATATTTACAGAAAAAAGATGTAACCTATATATATATATATATATATATATATATATATATATATACAGTTGTGTTCAAAATAATAGTAGTGTGTTGAAAAAAGTGAATAAAGCTCAAAATCCTTCTAATAGCTTTTATTTCCATACACACAAACGCATTGGGAACACTACACATTCTATTCCAAATCAAAACATGAAAATATATCAAATTTGTGTTGTTCCTCTAAAAAAAATTTAAGAAAAGTGAATATTAGACTGTTCAAAAAAATAGCAGTGTTTATATTCTTCTTTACAAACTCAAACATTCACTATATAAACTGAAAAATGTTTAAAGATTTTGCTTTCCTTTGAATCACTTCATTAATATTTAGTTGTGTAAGCACTGTTTCTGAGAACTGCTGTACATCTGTGTTGCATGGAGTCAACCAACTTCTGGCACCTGTGAACAGGTATTCCAGCCCAGGATGATTGGACTACATTCCACAGTTCTTCTCTATTTCTTGGTTTTGCCTCAGAAACTGCATTTTTGATGTCACCTCATAAGTTTTCTATTGGATTAAGATCCGGGGATTGGGCTGGCCACTCCATAACGTCAATCTTGTTGGTCTAGAACCAAGATGTTGCATGTTTACTGTTGTGTTTGGGATCGTTGTCTTGTTGGAACACCCATTTCAAGGGCATTTCCTCTTCAGCATATGGAAGCATGATCTCTTCAAGTATTCCGATGTATTCAAACTGATCCATAATCCCTGGTATGCAATAAATAGGCCCAACACCGTAGTATGAGAAACATCCCCATATCATGATGCTTGCGCAACCATGCTTCACTGTCCCAGGTAACTTTAGACCTTCTTTGATCTTCCTGGAGCTGATTGTTCGCTGAGTCCTTGCCATTTTGGCTATTCTTCTATCCATTCGAATGGCAGTTTTTCACTTTCTTCCTCGTCTTTCAGGTTTTGGTTGCCATTTTAAAGCATTTGAGATCATTTTAGCTGAGCAGCCTATCATTTTCTGCACTTCTTTATATGTTTTCCCCTCTCTCAATCAACTTTTTAATCAAGGTACGCTGTTCTTCTGAACAATGTCTGGAATGACCCATTTTCCTCAGAATTTCAAAGAGAAATGCACTGTAACCAGCATGTACAACATTTGCTGCCTTCCTTCCTTAAATAAGGGCAATAATTGCCACCTGTTTTTCAAAGAATGAATGACCTCACTTATAGAACTCCACACTGCTATTATTTTGAACATGCCCCTTTCCATTAGTGATTCAATTACACAGAATCAGCAGCATGCATGTCATGACTGTTGGGTCTGTTGGATTTCTATTACTCTACTAAACCTGCTAGTAAATTATTTGCCATGTAGAAATATCATTTCTACCAAAAACAGTGATTGATCAGGTTAGTGATGTCTGACTGCTATTATTTTGAACACAACTGTATAAATATACAGAGCACAACAGCACAGCAAAGAGATAACAGAAAGAAGTTTAGGTAAATAAGTACTTGCCAAATAGATGCCTGGGGTTAAGCAGTTTCAAGTCTGATGAGCTAAAAAGGATGCTTTCTGTGTCTTGACTGCTAGTTTCATTGGTTCTACCCAAAATCAACAGAACCCAATTGCCTTATTTGGTAAAAGGATTGTATAAAGGCAGGGACTAGCAAGGTACGCTGAACGCATTCCTGAGGGAGGGGGGGAATCGGAGGAGGGAGAATGATTTGGAATGTAACCACTAGCCTACAGGGCACTTATACCCCATTCCTGCCCAGGCCTATTTCCAGCTTTCAGCGCTGTCACATTTTGAATGACAATTGCACGGTCATGCAACACTGTACCCTATGAAATTTTCATCATTTTTTTGAGACAGATAGAGCTTTCTTTTGGTGGTATTTAATCACCTCTGGGATTTTTATTTTTTTCTTAAACAAACCAAAAACCACTGAAAATTTTGGGGGAAAAAAAGTTTTTTCTTAGTTTTTGTTAATAAGTGATTTTTCTCCTTCACTGATGTGCGCTAATGAGGCTGCAGTGATGGGCACTGATAGGCTGCACTGATGGACACTGATAGGTGGCACTGATGGGCACTGATGAGGAGGCACTGGTAGGTTGCACTGATGGGCATTGACAGGCATCACCGATGAGCACTGAAAGGCAGCACTGATACATGACACTGATATATGGCACTGATAGGCAGCACTGATAGGCAGGACTGACTGGCACTGTTAAGCGGCACTGACTGGCACTGTTAGGCGGCACTGTCTGGCACAGATAGGCGGCACTGACTGGCACAGATAGGCGGCACTGATGCGCACTGATAGGCGACACTGACTGGCACTGATAGTTGGCACTGATTGGCAGCACTGATAGGTGGCACTGATTGGCATTGATAGGTGGCACTGACTGGCACTGATGGGTGACATTGAAAGGCAGCTCAGATGGGCACTGATATGTGGCATTGATGTGCACTGGTATGCACTGATATGTGGCATTTATGTGGCACTGATGGGCACTGGCATGTGGCACTGATTAGCACTGTAACGTGGCACTGATGAGCACTGACAGGTGGCACTTCTGGGGCCACACTGATCATCAGGGCACACTGATCAGTGCCCTGATGATCAGTGTACATGTCCCCTCCGCGGAAAGCCGATTACCGACGCTGACAGCTCGAGAGGAGAGAAATGCCGATAACCGGCATTTCTGTGTTTACATGTGATCGGACACAGCTGATCACATGACCAAGCCGACATCTTCGGCTCTTTCTGTGATCTACTGTGTCCGAGGGACACAGCGCATCGGCAACCGCCGCGCTGCGCGCTCCTTGAGTGAGTCTCGTAGGATGTCATATGACGTCCCATCAGAACGAGAGAACCACCTTGCGCCCATCATTTTACTATAGGGCGGGCGGAAGGTGGTTAAGAGAAATACCAAAATGCAGAAGTTTGGAGCAAAATTGAGAACCGTGCCTCTCCCTGTGTGCATGATTGTGACACCTTCCCCTCATGTGGTTGCATGGGAGGGAACTACAATTTCCCACCTGACGCAACTGACCTCTGCCCAGAGGTTCACCTTGGGTTGACAGGGTGCCATTGCACTGCAGGAGAAGCAGGTTCCTTCTGTTGTGCCGACCAAGTGAGTGGTCACGGGGGAGCACCCAGTCGGCTGTGACTATCCGGATATCGTGGCGACTGCCGGGGTGCCCACCTGTTCACAAAACACTTTGGCTCAGGGGTGTCATCTGCTAACATATTGAGATGTAGCTTTTTGTCGAGGTAGAGACGGAGATTTCACTCTCCCATCTTCTTCCTCAGGCCTAGGACTACATCTGACCCGAAGGTAGTGGCGCCTGTGTGCACTGGAACCGGACAGGCAAATTCTGGAACTCGCTGCCTGGATGGGTCCACAGGTACCTTCGTCCAAGATGAACAGTCCTCTTTACCTGCTAGCATCCAGGACACCAGTTCCATCAGTTTCCTGTCTTCTTGGTCAGTCACGGGTCCAGCTGAGCCATGATAGTTGCACCCATGCGCCTTACCGTAGCCGGCTGCACCCAAGACTAACGCAACTTGCTTCTTGGCCTGGGGAGTCGGCCAGGCCACAAACTGCCTCAGTCTAACCATTCCCAGACCTCTGGAGGTCTCTTCCTACCGGCGGTTCCCAAAACTGAACCACTGACATGCCCTCTGACAGTTACCATTCTCGACTGTCAGACTAGGCATGGGCAGTTTGTCCCTGACTAGTGACAGGGGCCCGAGTTGCTCTTCCCAGACAGGGCCGAACACCACAAGGCCCCTAAAGTGGGCAACTGCACCCAGTCCCATTCCACATTGTAGGCCATTCCTGACCTCTGGGGAGGTGGTTGATGCATTCTCAACCCCAATTAGCTTTCCCGGGAATTCAGGCAAGCCACATGGGGTGGTGAAGGCTGACTCGTCCCGAGCCTCCTGGGTTAGAGATGGTGGCCCAGACCCTTTGCTCAGGTCCATGATGGTTAGACAGCGGGCCCCTTCCGGATGCTTCATTACCTCATGGCTCCTGGGCATGGGGTAGGCCACAACCACAGGGCTGGCGCTCGGTTTCCAAGGTCCTCACAAAGTCTGATCCTGTTTGGGGACCGAGACTACCGGTGATGCCCAGACTCTAGCTGACCCCTGGATTCCTGACGGCGCCATTCCCTCTGTCTCTTTGGCCCGTTCAGTCTGCACCTTCTGTGAGATGAGGTGAGGTTGGCTGAAGGCATGGGGGAAAGATACACCCTGCCGTCCAACTCATGAACAGCACGGTGAGCTCTCCCCGGGTTTTCCTGAACTCTGACACCATCTATCATATGCATTGCCAGCAGCTTCTGTACCTGAATGGAAAGGAGAGGTGATTGGAGCTGAAGGCCGCAGCCCCCTCTCGGAGATCCGCTGATCAACTCCAATGAGGCCCCTCGCACTTCCAATCCAGGTGTGCTCTCACTAGCTAGGACACATGTTTTCCTGCCTAGTGACACACCAGGATAGGTCAGATCATATGACATGCTTTCAGTCTCCCTGTCAGGCCTTTGTTTACCCTTCTCAGCAGGGAAGCTCACAGCTATATGGCTGCTGAGGTTCATGTGTGAATTGCTTCCCAGTGCTGCCTTACACGTGGAACTACAAGTCCCAGCCGGCTGTCCAGTACCATGCAAGGACAACGCCTGGACACTTATCAAGGTAGAATCCTCTGGGCCTAGGCAAGGAACAGGCCTATCCAGACCATCCCTTTGCTCAGCCCCCTGAGATTGTACCTCTGCCCCCTTCACAGCACTGTGGTTGACCCCCAACAATGAAAATGCATCATTTTTATTATCATGACCATCATCATCATCAACATTATCATCGACGTGATTGACATTATCAATATCAGCATCATCATTATCATCATCGTTATTGACATTACCACTATCAGCATCATCGTCATCATTATCATCATCATTATCAACAGTTACGTTTATAATATCAATGACACATGAGTTCGATATCTCCCCATGCAAGGGGTTTTCTTCTCGTTCTCCAGCTAATGAAGAATCTTGCCACCCCACTCCATTCCCAGCCCCCTCCCTCTGTCCATCCACAGGTTGCCCAGACATTACCCCAACATCTGCACACAGTACCTTGGCAGGTCCAGAGTGTTCCAGGGGGCCTTCCGAGTATTCTCGGCAGGGGCATAATAGGACACAAGAGTACCCAAATCGGCACCCAACAAAACAGGTGTGGGAATTTCATCCGAGACCCCCACCTCCCTCATCCCCCTTCCCGCACCCCAATTGATGAATACCTTTGCACACGGTATGCGTGAACGGGTCCCCCCAACTCCTGTGAGGGTAAGGAACTTTCCAGGGATGAGGTTCCTTGGCTTTATCACCTCTGGCCGGACCAAGGTGACTTCTGCTCTGGTGTCCCAGAAACCAGTTACAGACCGGTTGCCCACAGTGACTGGTTGCAAGTTGGCGGGGGTTACCCGCATCTTCCTGTGGACAAACAGCACGGAAGAAGAGTTGCTGGCCAGCTGGCCAGATGATGTCACCTGCTTCTGCTCAGGACACTGCATCCTGAGATGTCCGGCTTTCCCACAGGTGAAACATCTGCAGTTGTCAGTCAGGAATGGCTTGGCCCCACGTGCTGCAGGTGTTGATTGAGGGGGATCTTGACTCACCGGCGTAGGAGGGGTTGCTATGGGCGATTTCCCTCCTTTCCAGCCATTTGGAGGAGCCTTGTGAGGGTCAGAAACCCCCGTGTGGACAAAGGTATCTGCCCAATCGGCTGCAGCTTTAGCAGAGGCTGGTTCTCTTTCTAAGACAAACTGTCTGACGTCTGCCGGGCAGCTATGCAGGAGTTGATCTCATATCATGAGATCTTCTAAAGACTCGTAGGAGCCAGCTTTCAGTCCTTTAGTCCACTGTCGGAATGTGATACGTAAGCGACTCACCACATCCGTGTAAGAGTCCCCAGGTTCCTCTTGCATGGACCTGAACCGCTTGCGGTACACTTCTGGGGTCATTTGGTACTTCCGGATGATGGCATCTTTTAAAGCTTCATAATCGTCATCCTGCCCCTCTGGCAATTCAACAAACGTGTCCAGGGCCTTGCCTCGTAGCCCTGGTGTCAGGTTCTGAGCCCATTGAGTTGGGGGCACATGGTACTGACGGCACGTTTTTTCAAATGACAGTAAATACGTGTCAATGTCACTATCTTTGTCCATCACTGGAAACTTGGTGGCTGTGCCCACGGCCAGAGTGGCATCCCTGTGCTCTAGGGACCCGGGGTTCTGCACCTGTCGCTGTGGCTGGAGCCTTGCCATCTCCAGCTCGTGCCAACGATCAGCTTCCCTCTGCACCGCCTCTCTCTCAGCCCGGCGTTCCGCAGCTTCTCTGTCAGCCGCTGCTTGGCGTTCCGCCACCTCTCTGTCAGCCTGGCGTTCCGCAAGCCTCTCCATCAGCCTGGCAGAACGCAGCCTCTCTGTCAGCCTGGCGTTCAGTGAACCTCAGGTATGCCTCAGGATCTGTCTCCTTGATGCGTTTCAGGGCTTCCTGCATCTGAGGAGAGTCTCTGCTGGTTACAGGCACTCCGGTGCTGGCCCGCTCAGGCGGTGGTGTGAAGATAATATTTGATGATATTCCAGTGTCAGTCTCTGTATGCCTCTCCGGCGAGGCCGTCTCTGAGCCACTGGGATCGGATGTAGTGGGAATCCGGTCATGGTCAAGTTCCCCCGAGTTCTGATCTGCTTGGATAGCATACTCCAGTAGGTCCCAAATCAAATCTTCACGATTTTTGCGATCGACGTCCATTCCTCGTGAGGTACATTCCGCCCTCAAATCACCTTTGCTCATTTTCTCGTATTCTGCTTCACCAGGCATAATTGCAAGCAAAGATAGAATAGAAAGTAGAATATGGAAGGAGCTGTTGCTATATATCTCTCTCTCTCTATATATAAAAAATATGCACCGCTTGTTTCTAAGGACTGTGCCCACAAAGGTTACGATCCTTCAGTGTAGAGCTAATTCCTAACACTGCACTGAAGCTCTTAATGCCACTATCCCACGTACGCTGGCAACCAATGTGTGACAGGCACGGCGTCAGACCCCCGACCTTCTCACCAAACTCGTGACCGAAGGACTAGCCAATCTAACACCGCGATGTCACGAGCGTAACAATGCCACACCCAGCTGCACCCTGCACAACGATTTTCCAGCTAATTAGTCCACAATCGACGCACCTGTAGCCTGGGAGCGTTTGTTACTGGGTTAGGTTAATTCCGCAATTAACCCTTCACACTGCCACCACCTCCTTTTTGTACAGAGAAAGAGGAAACTCAGCAATACACTAGGATGATTGGTTAATCGTCAGTATACCGCTATCTCCACAGACAGGTTATACAAAGGGTTAAACACTCATAGTAGCGCTATTTAGTGGCAGGGATTCGTAAGTCACATTAAAGGGCTATAGAAACAGTTCAACAATTCCAGAAAGTAAGATTTATTAATAAAAGGTGAAAAGGATGCAGTAGAAATATTTACAGAAAAAAGATGTAACCAATATATATATATATATATATATATAT